GACACGAGGGTGAGTAATTAATGACAGAATTTTCATTTTTGGGTGGATGATCCCTTTAATATTGGCCATTTATTAGACAACATAAGAATGATTATCAGCTTACCATATCAACACATCCATAGTTTAAGCACAAAATGGACTTTAAAAACCACACATAAAGCGGTTACCTGTCCTGGTGTATAAATAGCATTCTGAAGTAGTTCGAGAATGCGGCCAATACGGCCTTGTGTGCTTTGAAAAAGACATTGCCGATGGCGACCGTGCAGTCACACAGGAAGCCAAACTCCCTCTGCGCGTTGAGCTGCTGCAGAAGGATAAGACCATGATTGGCCAGCTCCATACTTCCACCTACACAGAAAGGGCCAGAGATGACAGTCAACTTCCTGTCTACTACAGACCACAATGCACAAAAAAAAAAGACTGAGTGAAAGAAGGCTGTTAAGTTGTTTGTTGATATGGACTTAATCAGCAGTGAACCGCCGAAAATATGAATCAAATACTGTAAAACCAAACAATAAGCTAAACTCTACGATACACTTGGAATATGAATATTATAACTAGTAGGCTACCATTTCTCATAGTTAGAGTTTAAGGGTTTGTTTAAACTTTTAACCCCAAGTATAACACTTTGGCACACAAACCTTCTCGCCATGATTTGTTTAAAATGAACTTTGTTGCTTGTTGGAAGGTGTGCGGTTACTTTAAGTGATAGGATTTAATTACAGTGCTTTTAAAGCAGTCCATACAGAGCTTTTAAGGCACAGCATTTCATTTATTTTGCCATTTTCTTTATACTGGCAAATCTACTTCCCACTCATATTTAAGACTACGCAATTCCTGTTGATCAAGCTGAAGGAAGGCTTTGTTGATTATGTATTCTCAAGACATTTACAAACAGAATGGCTCTAAATGGAGTGGTTTTCATAACCCCATTTGAAATTTTTTTATATTCTCCCAAGATACATCTTCAAATATCTGAGACCTCTAATAATCTAATAATAACAAATCAGTTTTTTTTTTTTTTTATTCTGGAGGGAAAAACAACAGGACAGAAAACAAGTATATTATCTGAATAAGACTTGATTCTAATGTAACATCCATTAGAGATTTTAAGACAACTAACTGGTTAGACAGCATAAAAACAGTCAGACTACCATGAGATCTCAACATTGTTACCCTGACAACATGGTCCCAACAGAGCAGTCAGATCCAGCCAAGGGCCAAACATCTGAAGCAACCTTTGAACACTGAACCCTGATCCCTGAGGTTATTAACCCTCATCTACCAGAACCAGCTCAGCAGCCTCTATGCCTTGAATGTCCATTACCCTAAAGGTCAATCACAGGCTTTGTGTCACATGACTCGCTCTTCAGGCAGCATTCCTGAGGCTACTTCCTCTCAACCCCTCTTGAGTGGAGAACAGTCTACAAACCCACAAAGCCTACAGACCCATTACATGGGTTGTAATGTCACGTAGCTGTGCGTAAACACTGCAAAACAGGCATTTTTTAACAATAGTTTAAGTTTAGCCGGCTCCTTTCACTAGTACACACTTGATTTTGGAATATACTGACACCTACTGGCCTGGATGTATGAAGTTTGTTTACTAACTGCTGCTGCTGCTTCACACTGCAGCAACAGTCGTCGGTATAGTTGGTAAAGTCAGTGCGTCACTGCAGCTGCCATTAAAAGTCCCGGTTGCTACAGAAACAGTCAGCGTTCTGAGACGTGCTCTTAGGACTGCGCATGTGCACTGGCTGATCTAGCCTGAAAAATAAGCTTTTTATAATGCTATTTGAATAAAAGCAACAACATTTATGACACAGTTGTCAGATTTCTTTGGTGATTTCAAATATGAAATTGAATCGTAAGCTTAGTGAACAGTTTTGGAGAATTTGATGTTTCCCCATTCAAAGATATAAGAGTTGCCCTTGTATGCCCGAGAGGCGTTTCAAAGATGGCCACCGAGTGACATCACTTGTCTTAAAAGGACTTTGTTGAAAACCAAGGGGGAAACTAGTTGAAACTATAAATATATATATTTATGTTTATTGCAATGCAAATACTTAAAGGAGACATATTATGCCCCTTTTTACAATATGTAATACAAGTCTCTGGTGTCCCCAGAATGCATCTGTGAAGTTTGAGTTCAAAACACCCCACAGATCATTTATTATATAATTTTGAAAATGCCTATTTTGAGTGGAAGCAGAAAAACACTGTTTTTCGTACCCGGCTCTTTAAATGCAAATGAGCTACTGTTCCCCGCCCCCTTTTCCAGAATAGAGCTGAGCCATTACAGCTCTGTGCTCGTCTGTGCAGCCAAAGACAGAACAGTTAGCATGTTTTGCTCAAACTTTCGCCATGGCATTAGAACTAGTACACCGTTGTCGCTTGCAAAATCAAAATGACGGCGCCGTGGGTGGAAATTTACAGATTAATGGGCGGTAATATTATAATGACATCCCTTTGCAACGTCACCAAGGGAGCGAAATCAGACGCACTCGTTTTCTCAGACGCTTGCAGAAAAAGGCTTACCAAACAAAGTTACTGGGTTAATCTTTTTCACTTTCCTTGGCTGGTAGATGCACCGGGGACCTGATTATAGCACTTAAAACCTGGAAAAGTCAGATTTTCATGATATGTCACCTTTAAGTATTTCTCTGTAAGCAATTCTCTGATTGGTGGATATTTCCGTTGTTGACCTGATGTTTATTTATATGGATTATTAAAAAAAAAAAAAAAAACATAGCTCACAGAAGAGATTTATAAGTTATTGTTAAAGATAATTTCCCACATGGAGAAAATGCATGGGGTTTTTAGTTCCAGAAAGACTGTTGCCCACTGCTGTTCATTGCATGTGGTCATGTGATGTCAACATCGAGCAAGCAAAACGATTTGAATTAGATAAACTTCTTGAGTGAAGCTTTGAGTCACCCAGCATTCAGCAACCATCGAAATTTGTAGAAACAGTGACATGACAGATTTTGTTTTCTGGTACCCAAATATATAGACACAGAGAGAGAGAGAGAGAGAGAGAGAGAGAGAGAGAGAGAGAGCGAGAA